GTTACTGTTCAGCCCCGAAAATGGAGACATGTTCCTCAGAAGCATCAGGTGGCGTTATGTTCCAGAAGATATTACTCTTCAAACTGTTTACTGTTTCTAATCAGGAGCCAGGTAAATTCGATATAACCATAAAGACATGTATTTGACCAGTGACTTCAAATTACGAAAGCATACAAGCATACCTACAAGGTTTCTGTTAAGCACTCCGTGATAATTAATATAAGCCGTAGAAAGAGCACCAGGTTTCATGTTCTCACAAATTTCTTTATCTTTATGAACTACTTTCTTGCAACAAAAACGGTGCCTGTAATTACTCTTCTTTATGCGACCCAATATGGACATCATGTAGGTACTAGCACTGAGTACGAGCTTAACGAAACAGATTTGATTCCCATTAAAGATACGCGTATTTCTATTCTATAAATCGTCCAGACCGACTCTGGGGCCCACTGAGTTTTTTGTACAATTGACATCGGTGGCAAAGTGGTCCGCGTCAGAAGTTGGTCATCTTTCGCCACCTAGCGTGCCGAATTTAAGAAGGCGTGGAGATTTACCTCCACTCTACCATATCCAATCATGATGGGTCTTTAATTAAAAACAGGAAGAACTATACTTTTCTTTTCCTTATATACATACGTGAGACTGTGAATAACGTCGAAAGACCAACAGAATCGAACTTGTCCATTAACGTTTAAAAGCTCTGTATCTCGCAGACGGGGCGTACCATTTGGATTCGCGTGATTCACAAATTAAACGGAAACTGTTTCACTGCACAGGAATTACCAACTGTTCTCTGTAGTAAAGATCCAGAATGTTTTCTATTAGGTAGGAACCGACGCTTTAAACTTTATTTGCAGGAATTTAATGAATTAAAGTGTTAACATAGGCATAGTTGCAAACCAGGTGTATGATAGTCTCTATGGTTAAACTCACACCTAAATATGTCACTCTTACGATACAACAGGTTTTTATCATTTTCACTAAGGTTGTTGATGAGCAACACGGTCAGGAGATGGGAGCTTTGAAAACTACCATGTCCTTCAGTTTAATACAACTCTCAACTCAGATCAGCACAGTCTATACCAAGAGAATGCTTTAAAATATTTCACAGGAAATTTCGTTATATAAGGATAGGGAAGAAATGTGAATAGTATTCTCAAATACATGACACTACTTTAAAAACAAAACTATCCTATGCAACTCTGAAGAGAAAATTCTACATTTTGTCCATCCTCTGGCGCCAGAACTCGACACACATAGGTAAGACACGATTTTTCACTTCTGACACTTCGAACTTAAAAATTTTCCAACTTTTCGTTTTAAAGACTGACAAAGCACAATGTATGACAAAGGTTATGTTGGAGCTGAGTCCTCCTTGATAAGCTAACAGATTATAAACTGAGCAACAAATTCCTTGCCTTTCATGGAACCACAAGTTTCATTTCAGTCTTCAAAAAACCGTATCCCGAGGGATATGAAAGCAGCCTATGTTCTTACATCTTCTGTATATAAGATACATTTGAATAGTATCGTGTTAGTCCTTGTAAATGGCCGCAATATTATTAAAAAAAAATAGCTGATAATTTTTTTTCCTACATCATCTACTAATAATTCTTGAGATCTTCAGACATAAACTTTAAATATAAAATAAAGTGGCTCCTATTAGCAGCCCTGTTGTAGGGGCACGGAGGCAGCATGACCCATTTGTAGCTTCAGCACTTAGAACTTCAACCTCTATATTCCAAGGAAAACCACTTCCGCATGCATGTGTGAGAGCGCATGAGGACCAAGATGCATTCTGTAGATTGGAAATGGAAAATTTTAAATTTCTCTGCAAGAAGTCTGAACTACCAGAAATCCTCGTGTCTTCTTAGTTGAGTGCTCTGACGTATTTATTATTTTATTGCTAGTGGGGTGGGACTAAGTCCCTTGTACTGCGGCTACTTCTGGCNCGGAGAAAACCTGCCGCAGCGCCACCTTATCCACCACAAATCCCACTTTACCAGACCCGGGATCGAACCCGGGCCGCCTCGGTGGGAAACCAGCGACTCTCCGCTTGAGCTATGACGCTGCCCTAAGTAAGTAAGTATTTTTTATTGCTAGTGGGGTTGGACTAAGGCCCTTGTTCTGCGGCCACTTCTGGCCTACTGTACCAGCACCATATGATAGGTGAGGGTGATTGTGGAGCAATTGGTGGAATGAAGATTGGCAGGGGAAACCGAAGTACTCGGAGAAAACCTGGCCCAGCGCCACTTTGACCACCACAAAAATGCCACTTGACCAGACACGGGATCGAACCCAGGCCGACGTGGTGGGAAGCCAGCGACTAACCGCTTGAGCTATGGCGCGGCCCTATTCTGACGTAAGGACAACGATATGAATTATTTTAACTGAACTTAAAATACTGAAATATGAACAATAATTCTGAAATAGACAAAATAAGCGTGGATAGAAAATTAAATGAAGCATTTCAGTTATTTGTAAAATGAATATATTAATTGTAATTCTCCATTATTTTAAATTTTGATTCCAGTCTCTCGTAGAAAAGGCATTGCATTTTGCATTTTAGTTCCAAGCAGTTATTTTAATGATAATCGTAACAAAAGAAATAAAAATATATAATTTTATATGAGTACAAATTTTCTGGTGAAACAGTAAAAATATACCTACCTAAGTTTTATGCTATAAATTTAAACAGGGCCGCCGCAGTGGGAAACCAGCTACTAACCGCTTGAGCTATGGCGCGGCCCTATTCTGACGTAAGGACACCGATATAAATTATTTTAACTGAACTCAAAATACTGAAATATGAACAATAATTCTGAAATAGACAAAATAAGCGTGGATAGAAAATTAAATGAAGCATTTCAGTTACTTGTAAAATGAATATATTAATTGTAATTCTCCATTATTTTAAATTTTGATTCCAGTCTCTCGTAGAAAAGGCATTGCATTTTGCATTTTAGTTCCAAGCAGTTATTTTAATGATAATCGTAACAAAAGAAATAAAAATATATAATTTTATATGAGTACAAATTTTCTGGTGAAACAGTAAAAATATACCTACCTAAGTTTTATGCTATAAATTTAAACACAAGACAAGAGACAGTTTCTACCTCCACAAAAGCAATGGAAGAAGCATGCGTGACACAGGAGCTGACATCACGTATCCACATGCAGCAGGAGATAAGCTTTCCAGATTACGACAACCGGTTCGATTACGTTTAATTTAAATATGAAATAACTCTTCATGAAGTGGAATACGTTTAACCTCTATATGTCAAGTTGTGTGCTCGTGAAAGTTCGCGCCTTTGTGCTTCACTACGCTATGGAGCGTAGAGTCGTTTGCACTAGATGGGTGTCATGATCTCGCTTCGAGAGCTTCGCCTTCAATGCACTCAGCCTCTCCTTCGGTCCATTTCGAGCTTCATGCCTCCATAAGGAAATCTCTCAGGAGGTAGAATTGGATTGTGGCGGCAGAGCGACACTAAATCACTGACCGTGACCTCAAAGTGACCCGAAGATTCCGAACTGAGTACCACGACAGCGTTCCGTACACGAACTAAGGAAACGGTTACCGTTTCTCACGGTGTTGTCGCTTGCAGAATTCTTATACTTTTTCTTCTACCCTGAAGATGGGGGCGATACGTTCCTCCGAAACGTCGGTTAACACCACATATACACGGTGCCAAATCCCAGAAGACTGCTTTCTTCATAGTCACCGCCGTGAAAGCCTCAAATCTTACATACGATAACTAAATTTCGTCCACTACTCATTTTATTTATACGTATTCAAGTGTTTTCCAGCTGTTTTATCCGACTTCCCTTCAACATTCCAAAGAAATACGTCCTATCAACGCAACCTACTCTGTATTTACAAAAAATCCGTACACTATCATAGGAAATTCTGAGTCATTAAATTATTGAAAGTCTTCACTCATCAGTAATCTGTCAGACGACAGGTCCACAGTCTCTTCCAAAACAGTTCCTCCACTTAATGCGATCTCAAGCTTTCTCCTTCAATTAAAATATCCTCTTCTGTCCCCAAGGTCATCCAGCATCTTCTTACGTCTTCTTCCTCGTCTTCTGGTCACTTCTATCCGCCCATCTATCTTTCCTTCGATAGCTTCTTTTAGAAGGCAGTTTCTGCGTAAAACATGACCAATCCAANTATCCAGGAAAAGTGATAGTTTTTCCATTTGCTTTCCACATCGCAGTACAACAGCCGTTCAAACCACTCTGGTCAACCCCTAACCACGATAAGGTGGAGACACCAACGAGGAGGTGAAAGTCTTATAAAGAGATAAAGATCTTATAATAAATCGTTTTCTTCGCTGCTGTCGATTAAGATCTGTTAATATCTGTCGAGGTGTCAGATGTATTATCTTGTGAACTGGTTAAGTAGTGTCTTATTAAACCAAGGAATGAGACGCATTTGCTGATACAGACTAGCATAATACCACATGTTTCTATGTTCCGAAGGCTTCAGCTCTACTTCATGTAAATTTACGTAAGCATTACTATATTTTACTGTCATTAAAGAAGTTCATTACAACTGCAAATATTTATCATCACCAAGATATATAGTTCAGCAAATCTTATCAAACGAAATTGCACTGTCAATTACGTACCACTATTTCTACTATAACTGCTTTTTGATTAAGTGTCATAGTACTGAATTATTCCTTTTGAGTGTTTAATGGCAGTAAGTTCCATGCAAGTTATTTGGTGTCTCTCGAAGGGAACTACGCTCTAGTAAGCAAAATTACAATTAAAGTTCATGACCTGCAGAAGTAGCCTTATCAGTTAGAGCTAACATAATATTCAAACGTTTTTACCACTTTCATTTAAGGAAAATGAGATGTATGTTTTCCTTGACGAGCGGTACTTTTAATACCTTCAAAGAGCTTGGCTTACGGCCCTCCACAAAGTACTCTTAACATGGCAATTACAAAAGTGAGAAGGCTTAGTTTCTCCTCTTTGTTTCTAATATTCGACTAATTTTGCCTGTATTTGCGAGGGCCCGTAAGCACGTGGTGAGGTGGTGCATAGTCGCGCAGGAGGTGGAGTCTCACTCATCTCCAGAAAGTCACTGCGCCTGTCTGTCCAGACGAACTCTGTAGTAGAAGGGGGCTGGAACAGTGCGTCCAAAGCAGCAGTCGGCGTTCGACCGACAATCCGCGCGTCACGACGTCCAGCGAAGACAAGTGACTGTGAACAAGTGAGTGTGAGCGTTGTGTTCGGTGGGTGGGTTGTCCTGACATGATCTCAGTGGACCGGTGCAGTGGGCCATGTCCGCCCTTCGGTTCGTAGCGTCAACGCTCTGCATTTTCTTTACCGTCGTCGTGTCCGGTAAGATGTCTAGTTACAGGGGCGATAGCATGCTCCATGCATTTCACCGCATGTATACACAAGGGCGAACACGTGTGTTCAAAACACAGGGAGGCAATCAAGTCTCAGAAAATTGTACATTAATTTAAGGTTAAAACTATAGAAGACTAATAGTATAGAATATTTCAGGTTGTCATCCGCATGAAAGAGTCCCAGTATACAATTTGCTCAGTCGTGGATGCAGTATCAAGGCCTGGCTGCGACCCATACACGATGAAAGATGTTTAAAATTTATAACATTCATAAAATAGCTAATCTTTTTTATCATTTTTATCAACTTTCACATAAAACCAGAATTATTTCGCAGACAACTAGTATAATTTAAGGTTTTATTGGTTCATTTCAACTCTCAACTAGCCTAATTTTTCACACCAATATTCGTGAAAAGTAGTAACCTGTACTCTTGGAATGAACATGAATATTGTTCATGATTCGGCTACTGATGTTACTCAACCATATTTTCCTCTTCCAGATGCCAAGAAACATATAATTCTATGCACTATATTTCTGGGAACAAAATAATTGCAATGTATCATTTTATATTCTTTTTAAAAATGATTTATTCGTATGTGTATGAGTTCTTATTGAATTATTTAATATATAAGCAGGACAAAATCAATAAATCTAATTAATCATAGAAATTTGCAAACTTACGTAATACAACTGAACTGGTTTTAGAGTTGGTAACAAAATTATATTTTTGAAGAAATTAATTTCAGGGGGTTTCTGTCGAGAAGGTTAGAGGCTTGATGGACTTATATAGGCCTATTCTATGCTTTCTACAGCTCAAAGAACGTGGGTAAATTATATCTTGTACAATTAAGAAATGATCTGTCTGAAGCACTAAACGTTGGAATTGTGTTGTTCGCATGCCTACTGCATATCTGGGAAGTTTTCATATTCAATTATCAGCCTGACGTCGTCCAGACTATTTTTCTCTTAATTTACCTCAGGCCTTTCGTATAAATTCTGAGACAGCAGCTTATAAGTGGTCACGACACATTCCTACCGCATCCTCAGTTCATTGTTGAAAATAATTATCTTGGACATTTCACAGTGAGTTAATTCAGAGAGCGTTGTTATATAAGTTAGGCACAAAATATCAAGTACCCTTCAAGAAAAGAGATTATTTCAGTGTTACTTAGAACAGAAAATAGAATATAAATGTCGCCGGTAAATCGTTCCCGTACCTTTCTTCATAAATTCCCGCGTCGCGTTACAAGTTCAATTTCTCCCTGTCTGCAGTGTGAGTATATTTCCAGCCGGTCTTTGTCCCGCTAGTAGTGGGCTGTAAAAGTCATCAAGTATGGCACAGCGCTTCTGTACGCAGTTGTTTGTTGGCCAGGAAAAGTCGCCCGCCTCGCCGTCAAAGTGGTCCTATAAAGAACGAATGAAACAAGTTTAAGTTAAATATTTCACTCAGAAAATGCATTTAGTAACAGTAGTCCGAAAGAGAAGTAGAATATCATGTCAATTCTAGCGACGAACTCGGAAGGTTGTCTGTGGAATTTGAATAATTCTGTTAAAATTAAATTTCAGAATACCACAAAAATTATGAAATGCTAGTGATGACAAAAAAAAACGAACTCCGTGGTCTTTAGTCTTCAAGCGAACTATACCTACCAAGCGACCGTCGCTTGTCGGCGAAGTTAGTGCCAACTTTAGCGCATAGAAGGTGTCGCGTGGTCAGCGCAACGGATCCCCACGGCTGTTAATCTCGATTTTCTATAATGATTTTCTGACGGTAAGAATAAGTGGAACATAATTTATGAATTCAGCTACAATACGCCCAAGCAAAGAACGAATATCTTCTCAGATTTTGAGTTGGGATGTGAGGAAATTTCACTGAGTCAAGTTACAGCAATTTTTATTATTGGTAAAATACGAAATCTGGTAATATCTAATGGAATAAGAGACACATACGTATATTAAGGCCTTGCAAATTCAGTTGCAAATTCGTAAATAGGCACACAGCCCTTCACGTTATATTATGCATTTACATAATACAGATTATACATACTTATAATTAAGTGTCACAAAGCAAATAAGACTTTCATTTACAGGTACGTGCCGCACATATTGACATAGTTACCTACAGGTTCTGTGGCCCACCCAGCCTCCAATTCAGTTGTCAGTAAAGCGGTTTAAGTTGAAGCTGGTCACCTCCACCACAACGAGAGCTTTACGATCACTGTCCTACGCGTTTCAAATGCATAAGAATTTGGGAAAGAAGCAATATTACTTTTTTTGCTGTATGTGAAATTGATACATAATCATTTGAGCTTTACTAATTCTTATAAGAAAGTGCATCATATCCAGAAAGTATGATATATTGATGGACACTACCACCTAAAAGGAAACCTTTTTCAAACAGGGATTGACAGACGATCCCACTTGTGAATGGTGCCCAGAAGAAGATGAATCAACCATATCGTATATACTCGTACATATATATCCTATGCGATTGTGAGGGCAAAGCGTATTTAAGATTTCGCCACCTGGGCCAGTTCTTTACGGAACCAAGTGACTTTTATGGCGCCCCCATAAATAAATCCTACATTTCATTCGAAGTGTATGATTAATAAAAGGTTAATCCTAAGGGTAAGCACAATAGATCATTGAAGGTCGCAGTGCAAGGGCCGGATTTTATGGCCCACCCCTAACACATACTTCACACATACTACTATATGATATATTGATAATGGACTGACTTATAATTTCAGACAAGTAATGCAAAATTTAATATAAACATGACTTTAACGCAAATTACAGCAATCCTCCAGTGTATAACGACGTATTATACTCTAATCCTTCCAACAAAGATATTTATAAATTTAAAATTATAGATTCTCTTCGCGTTAACTGACGATATTTCAAATGCATAATCTTTACACTCATTAGTGGTCAATGCTCATTAATTTAGTTGCCATAACTGAGTATAATGCTAGAAGAATTTGATTTGTAATTTCTTCATATCAAGAGGCTTTCTCAAAACGAATATTAGGTTCACTGTCAATGATAAATTTGGAAGGATGTAAAATTTCTTGCTTCCTGTTAAGTCCCCACCTCAGTATTTCTCTCAATATATCCAGATGAACCATAAAAGTGGCATAGAATCAGAGCTGGGATCTCCAGAAAACGAAACAGGAGTACAAAATTTACGAAACGATATGTGGTAACAAGGTGAAGTACATACAGTACTTGCAGCGCGCAATATCGTGACAAAGCAATTAACATCTGTTACTAGTAGAGGCATATATAGAGCAGGATCCGCTATGTCAGACTGCAAACCTGTTTCACCCATTCACATTGGAAGAGCGGCCGTGCACGTTATATTTTAATGCTGTTTCTTACGTCTCGAAGCGCTCGTGATTTTCTTCAGTGCCGTAAATTGTACCAATACCTGTATTAAACACATATGACATCTATACCCCTAGAATGAGAAGGTCATATCCTCACTCACTCACTTAAGGTGCTGAGACCTTCGTGAGAAGCAGCCAATTGTGCAGCTCCTCAAGAACTTCTCAGCATTTTATGGAACCCGAAGGTTTATTACCGTGTTCACAAGAACCCTCCACTGGTCCCTATTTTGAGGCAGATCGATCCAATCCGTACCATTTCATCTGATTTCTCTAAAATCCATTTAAATATTGCCCACCCACCTACGTCATAGTCTTCCCAGTGGCCTCTTTCCTTCTGGCTTTCCTACCAGTATCCTATATGCATTCTTCTTATCCACATTTGTACTACATTCCCTGCCCAGGTTAACCTCCTTGACTTGCTCATTATAATTACAGAAGTTATGAAGCTCCTCATTATGCAGTTTTCTCCAACCTCCCGTCACTTCATCTCTCATCGCTCCAAATGTCCTCCTCAGAAAAGCGTTCTCAAATACACTAATTCTATGGTCCTCCCTCCATACACCTACCTGCGTTTACGAAATTGCTTTCTTTATTTCAGTCACAAGGCCACGCTAAGCATAATCACCGCAGGCACTGTATCCGAAGCACGTGCAACAATATTTCGCTATAACGACAGGGTGTTCACCAGCTCATTCACTGAAGTGTGAGGCTACAGACCGGACGGCAGGCTTTCCATTACTTTTAGGGAAAACAGAATTTTCATCATCTGGAAAGTAACGCTGTGCATTCTAGTGCTTACGGACATCTGTGAAAAAATCTGTTGTCTCTATCTTTAAGGCAGAAGAGAATTATTTTTGTAAAAGTCGATAAAAATCTACCAGAATATACGGCGTTACATCGCATCATAATCACTGCTGCGAGAGCCTAACATCTCATACTGCGGTTTTCTGGATTATGACGTCATGTATTCTGGTAAGCTAGTATCAACGATTCTGTTCATCTTGAAGGAGAGTGTTTCTATCCTGAAGATGGTGGCAATACGTTATCCCGAAACATTTGCACCTATTTCCAAGACTACACGGTATCTTCCTATTTCTCGTGGGTTATTAGCAACATCTCCCGTCCCTAAATTACATAACTTCGTATGGTAGGATGCATGATGGGTGATAAACTGGAAGGATTTGGAAGGAAATGTTCGTGGACCATTTGCGATAGTATTCCGGTACCTGCCTGGAGGGATCGAGAAAAACCACGAAAATCCTCACTCAGCGCAGCCTGTGTCCGGCAATGATTCGAATAGATTATCTCCAGAATAAAAGCCTAGAGCGTTATCTCTAGGCCAATCTGTTCGTTATAGGAAGTAGGGCTCCAGCGGCTCACAGTAAGTATCTTTATACCACCTTGATAAATATCTAGATACAGAGGGCACAGCAAAATAACACGAACGCGCAATAACTTCTATTATAAAATGTTATTGAAATTGGTCCAGCGATTTTCAAGTTAAAGGTTGAATCGACACAAAATCCCTTTTGCTTAGTAATTATCTCTAATGCTGCAAGACTTAAGGGCACAAATATGTTTCATTCCTCTGTACAACTCTCTGAGAAACATTCCTTAACTTTAAGCTAGACATGAGACATAAACGCACGTAGACATTTTATGCGTATAAAATATCGTTTACTGTTTTCGGGGGCAGGCGGTAGCGTAGATTTAGGTACTATGCTACAAGTCGGAAGGTCGTGTATTCGAGTCCAGATGAGCTGAATTTTTTCAATTTAGTTAATCCTTCCAGTCGCATTATGGCCCTGGGTTCGACTCAGTCTCCAACAGAAATGAGTACCTGGGATTTTCATGAGGGTAAAGGGCGACCGGCGCGTATGGCTAACAACATTACCGCCATTTATAAGCCGATTGTCTAGAGAATATGAAAACGTCGACGTCTCACAAACTTATGGGCCTCCACGTCCTGTTACAGAGATAGCTTTACCTCTTTTTACTACTGTCTGATTTTAGACAAAACTGAAACATGTAAAAAAGTTAAGGAAAATCTCCAGCTGTCAAATTAAAAAAAAATCCTTTAGCTCTTCTCGAAACACTTCGTAAGGACAGAGGGACGGCTAAATGTGGCAAAACCATTAGGAGGATTTTATAATATTTCCTTACGAGCATACCAAAACACCCCAATTCCTTCGCTACCAGCATCTGAAGAACGTTCTACCTTGCAGTGCACAAAATTTCTTGGTGAGAAACCTTATTTACAGGACACCGGAGCACCTCATAAAACGAATGAGAGCCGATAATATTTGAGATATGTAGTGCCATACGCGACAAAGGTGAAATCTCTGAACAATGTTATCCATTATCCGTTATTCTCACTCTGTATCGTGTGCTTCAAAATGATGGCACAGAACAACAGAAGGTAACAAATATCTCATTTCATCTGCATAGCTCGCGATGCGTAGTGCATGTTGGGAATGGGTTCATACTAATTCCGGTGTAACACACTAATCCAATCAGGTGTGCTATGCACCGACAATCAACACCAGCTCACGGTTGCTGGAGTTATTAAATAAAACATGTCAATCAACGCGTCCCAACTCGACGCCCTTCGTGACTAATTTATATGCAGAATAGGCGAGGTTTTGCATTACACTGAAATATAGTTGGAAGATGTTGATAATTCGAAGCGATATTTAAAATCAATTTAACATATACAGCACTATTATACAGTAGTCAATCACTTTTAAAATCAACATAAGAATATAATTAGTTGATTATTCGAATTCCTCGCTCTAAGAATGTTCTGGTTTCTCGTTGGCGCGTTTTACAAATGTAATAACCATTTCCGATACGCGCAACAAAGACCAATGAATAAATGTTCAATGGAACCGATTCATTTCGTTTTATGTAACTTTTTCTTTTCCGATCTCTTATAGTGTCCATGATTGTGAAGTTCAGTCTTGCACTCCAATCGAAGAACATAGATTTAGGGTGTTTGAGGTCAGAGAGCAAAGA